AATTGACACTTTACCCACGCATTCAATGTTAAAGCTCAAAGCAAAAAAAAGTCTGTCTTTAAATGCTGTCGATGTATGCTGTATTTAATTCATAATAAATAATTTATTCAACTTCGTCGTGGGTAGGCTTGGAAGAAAACTTGAAATCAATTAAGGCCCAATTTTCCGTATCAAAAAGCTTAAGTAATCCACAACCTACAAGTTTTGCTCCCTGATTATAAATAGCCAAATTATAATAACTTCTAGGAAATTTTCGTAATTAACGGAGGGAAAAGCCGTTTAATGAGATTATAATAACCGCCGTCCGTTAATTAATTTGTTGAAGGCAGGTGTTATATCAAAGGTTTGCAAAGTATCTCGTAAAAAAATAATTTTCAAAGAGTTTTACAGAAGCCGAATAAATTAGTTTTATAATCATTAAAATGCACATTATATTTCGTTTTTGCTAATAATTTTCATTTTTGTTGTCCTTTTTCACGTCTGTTATGGACTATAATGGACTCTGTTATAAATGTACAAAAATACAATTTGATTGAAATTTTAACATATTTTTATTAAATTATCTTTGCATCATAATTTTGTTGTAGTTCTTGGAATAGTTGGGTTTCACTGCAACAAAATTGTATAAGTTCGGAGACTTTGTAATTAAAAGTTTGAATTAATTCTGACAAGGGAGCGCTACAGACGTGGAATCACCGATTTTAATGAACTGGTTTTGATGATACTTGGTCGAAAAATATTGAACTTGTGTCTGAGCGATCCTACCAATGGGTCTAAGGAGCCGTGGAAAAAATCTAGATTTTTTTAATTTATCCTGAAATCCTATCTAACCGGCGCTCCTTCAGAGTGCCTTGCCTCAGTACGGCAAACAGTTTCTGAGACGAGCGATCCAGGCGCCCCGCAAGGAAGCATTCTTGGTCCCATCTTGTTTATACAGCTGACCCCCGATACATCCCTACATACGATGCCGCAATTTTACCTTCTAACTCTAATTCTACCCAAGCCACCTCCAACATCCAGCAGCATCTCAAGCTCATTGAATAATGGTTCAAACGCGTAAGATGAAAGTGAACGTGGACAAATTACGTTCACGTTAAAAAACGCATTGATCTATACGATAACAGTAAAAAACTATCGACATCATCACAAATAAAATACTTAGGGCCATACTATTGTAATGTAAAGTAACTTACTCAAACTATGTTAAAATGCCAATCAAATAGTCAATTTATACTTTTGTAAAATACGTCTGAGAGGCTTTGACTTCAATTTTAGATTAGATAATGTCATGTTAGTATATAAAATTTAAGTAATATATATTATTAAATTACTTTGTGCGTTGTAATAATTGTTTTTGCTACAAAAGGGGTTTTAATACATTTTAAGCGATCCCACGGCCTAAAACAACTCTGGCCTAAATTCTTCGACTCTCGACAAATACGTTCACATTGTACGTATTTTATGTTGTTGATGTAATTAAACAAACACCGTTGTCCCCGATTAAAATGGACTTTCTTGTTTACTTTTAACTGTACAGAATGTGCGGAGAAATCGTATAAAAGCTAAACTGAAAAAGGGAGAATAAAAAAGATTGTCAATACAACCTAAATTAAATTAGATTCCAATCAAGACACTTTTGAATAGATAACCCCAAATCTACTTTGAAATTAAAAAAAAAAAATCAATCAAAAGCAAAAACTCACAAAACATGTCTCAAAACTTAGGCATAATCTTTCTGAAAATTTTAGATAAATTAAAATCTCGAAAGGGTCAAGTATATTCTTACAATCGCAATGCCTTTTTATCCATCCTTGGCCTTAAAAACAATCATTTGATTGTCATTAATTACGAACAAGAACTCTCAAAAACCTATGAATAACGTACCTTACAATTTAACACAATTAGCAGATAAAAATCTTGCCAGGTCGTTCGCTTTTTTTATATGGCACAATAACACAACACGATACAACTGTTTACCACGATACCCTAAATTTATTTCTAAAAAAACTATAACTTGGTCTTTTTTATATTCTATCATATTTACGCATAAAAATAAGCCATAGAATAACTTTTGTTCTACTTTTATCGCAAGATAGATCTATAAGTTGAAGTCTGTAAGTCTATAAGAGTTGAAATTAACATAAAATTTGATGAGAAGCATTTAACAGACAAGCCTTAAAGTATTTTTTTTAAAAAGTGGGAACAATATGGTATATTATACGTTTTAAAAGAAAGAAGGCTTACCTTTGAAAGGCTTAAAGCCATCTAATAACGCATGTACAATCTAAGTTATGCATTTTTCCGCCTTATGCTTAGAACTATTGACAATTGTTTTCGACTCGAGTGGGGAAATGAATGATAACAACCGAGAAACTTTCCGTCCCCTAATTGGTACAACGACTGGAAAGTACGTGCGATCCGAGATGCGGTGGTGTTGAAGCCGGTTGCCGTGTCTCGTGAGAAATCACGCGATAACCATTACCTCATAACAAGAAACGATATCTTTCCATGGCCACAGAAATAATAAAACGCCTGGCCCAAATAGAAGTGGTCGATTTCGACCCTTCACAAACGAGACATAAAAAGAATTTTTGTAGCTTGTAAACTGGTCGTTATACAGACATAGTTCAATGAGATGCCTTATGCCTTAACCACCTGGGAAATTATAAAAACCCTAATTAGCAGGAGACTGGCTTAGTAGCTTAAAAATATGCTTAACCCTCACATGCATATAAGGCATCTTTCAACAGATCATCATCAATAAGTTGACACACAGAAAAAATATCGCTTGTCTTCGGTATCTGATTCTTCACATACTCCATATTGATTGATAAGTTGACTTCGATGTCAAACTGGTTAAAGTATCATAGATTCACGAAAACTCATCTTTGCTCTTCACATGAGACAAAGTTTACAAGGGCAGAGCGACTTTCCTAGTACTTTCCCCGCTCCTCTGTCGATAGAAAAGTAAGTCGCAGACTTTTCTACGAGGTGATGGCCAGTCCGATGATTTTGTATGCTTAACCCACTTGGACTACAAGTGCAATTCAAATTACTACAAAATGCAAGCCGTTCAGAATATAGGCACAACTACTTACCGTCAAACATGCGGTCGGTCTTGGAATTCATCAGGCGTGCCTAAATGACGATGCCGAGCAGACAGGAAGAGCTCCAGGAGAGCAACCGTACAAGAACAAAGGTCTATAACTACATTTAAACGAAAATTTAGTTTTGCCTAGGTGCTTGTTTACCTCCATGTACATTTGAGGTCAATTTCTCATCAATTATGAGCCCGATTTAGTTGAAAGTGACGGACCACTTCTCATCCCGTGAAATTTACCTGTCCGTACAGCACGGCCTGCGTTAAACAACATTTAATCTTAATTTTTGGTTGATTAATACTCGTTTGTTCTTGTGATGGGCAATCTGCAGCGTGGCAATGCTGGGCAGACAGTCGAGCTCCACGAAGGACAAGCGCAGAAGCAGATGCCTTACCACTAAACTGCCGTGTAAATGACTCATTTGTTAACACAAAAAATTGAATTCACTTGGCATAATGTGAAATGCCAATGATTCATTGTCATACCAATTGCTACGTTGCCTTATTAACTCTGCTATGAGGTGTAAAAGTCAATTTCTTATCCAGAATCGATCTTAGGTACTTGACAGTGACAGACCACGACCCGTCCCATCAAGCTGAACTGCTTGAACAGTATAGTCTTAAGTTTTGGTTGCGTCTCATTTGTTGCAGAACCTCATCTGCATCACGTGCAGCAAGTAATGCACGAGCTCTAAGAAGGACAAGCGTACAGCACCAGCCTGCCCTTAGCGTATATGCTCATCATTTTGGTCCTCGCTGTTATTATATGTCAGGTAGGGTTTGGCTTCTCGCTTCAGTCGTGAGTCTGTGTCTTAAAAGGCCAAACAGTGAGAAAGGCAGACCAAACTAAGATTCACCACCCCATAGAGATGAAGAAATCTCAAAAGGTATATACCTCAGCTTGTTTCGATACAGGATCGGCTTCTATAGATTTAGTTAGTCTGTTATATCGTTGCATCGTAGCGTATAGCTAAAAAAGTCAACAAACCTTAAACAACCTGAAGTAGTTTGCTGGGAACAAAACAATAACAAGAGCGTTACAGTAAATTGGATCTCAGGGAGATAGGATCTGAAAAATATTTTTAATATATATTTTTAATAAATTTATTTTTCCTCTGTTTTCTTTAAGTTATAGTTACAATAGCCGTCAACAAAGAACGTTGGACAGTGAAGTTTCGTGCAGATATTAACGATCCAACCTTATTTAGTTTTACGGGGAGGAAAAACGGTAAAATGAAATGATTTCCCAGGAGACGCCCAGGGACATTTTCTAATATACTTTATACGTGTTCTTTTAAATACGGGAAGGTCCGCTCAATACAGATTTTCCTTCTCGAAATCTGTTGTTTATCAACTAATACAACTCTTGTAATTTTTTTTATACAGAAACTCTGAGGGGAAACGAGCCCGATTAAAGTGAATCATCGGATAAAGGAATACAATTTGCTTCCGAAACCGCTGGATCGTGAGGACCTTATTGGAAAAACCTTATCAAGAACGTTCAGACGTTTAATCAATCCCGACTAAAAACGAATTTAGATCCTCGAATCTAGCCAATCTGTTTTGAATGTGGAAATCTTAATAAATATTAAACCTTGAATATAATACTGAAATACAGACCAAGAGAGAACTGCATTATTTATCAAGGCACCGTCGTAGCGGGTAAAAGAGACTGTATTGGATTTTTTTGGAAGGCTGAACCTCTGATAAAAGGTATTGTCATCGCCCTTTACAGGTGTTTTACAGCACCCACACCTCCCTCGACGGTCTTTGACAACAGAAAAGACATAAGAACGTGAGAAATTTACAAATGTTTATCTTCTCATGCGAATTGTAATAATTTAAATCATTCTTATATGAAAATCATTTCAATGGGGAGAAAATTGTTTTAGGAGTGCCATAGTTTAAAAAAATTGTATTTTCATTCACTTTCATAGACTTATCTTACTTTGTGAAAGTTTCTTTTTATGTGAACACACATCAATATAAATTAAAGCGTTCAGAGCTGTTTGAAGTGCTTTGGCAACTTCCACTTTAACTACTCAATATCTGTTTAATCTACTTGATGGCCTTAATACAGAAAAGACACCAAGTCCTCCACAACAGTCATAAGTATTTCAAAAGTAGCTCTACATTCATTCCAATAAACTTAGGCATGGTTAGCCCAATAAACCCCAAATTTTAGGCGCAATTTTTTACCCCAAAAGGCGGTCGAGTAAGCAAGTCCGAGACGTCCCTTCCAGACATGATCGCCGCAATCCGGCCCTCTGACGCAAAAAATGTAATAAAGAACATGTCATTCTTAAAAGAAAGTGGCAGCGTTGATGGGACGGATTGGCAGGGAAACTTTCACTTATAAACAGTTCTGTCGATAGATGCCCCTCGGAGGATCTGACTCGTAGGAGTGGGACGGATATTACTTTTGTGTAGATGGCGTGTGTTGGTGATGAATGTATTTATTGGCGTAAATATGTTGTGTGAAAGAGCCGATGGCTCCTCCTTCCTAACTGAGTTAATGGTATGTAAATAGGAAAGAATATATTTAAAAATTATTGAGACTGATTAGTGATTACGTTGTAGGCTGAAATGAACTAGCTGTTGACAGCCCCTGAATCGGAACCAAGGTGGCCGGACGGAGAAGACCAAGGTCTAACCCCGGACTGACAAAAGCTGGAATTGTCGGTTGTCTGCGAGAAGTGACAGGCTCAACTCCTTACACGTGCGTTTGTGTGGTTTGCGTACAGAATTGAGGTTATATAAATTTGTAGACGTAGTGTGACTATTTGTATACATCATTATTTACTGAAGAGGAAGGCAGCTTATTCGTTTAGTGTATTTGACTTCCAATCAGAAGGACTTAAAAAAAAAAGAATAATCTTAACAATCACCATCACAATAAAAACTGCCATTACTGTTTTATTTTTAATAATAACGCTATGCGTTATACTCAGAAAAAAAAGAACCACAGATCGAGAAAAAACATCACCGTTCGAATGTGGATTTGATTCATAAGTAACCTATTTAATAAACCTAATACTAAGAATACAATTATTTTTTGGGAAAAAAGCATAATTATAAATAAATTATCTCAAATTTAACTGATTCAAACAGTTTGCCCAACGATGTAAATGATGAGAGTTATAATTTGTATAATCAAGATTTACTTTCCAGTAAATCTACTTTGTTACGATTTATTTTGGACCCAAGAGCAATGGGCGGCGTGTACATAACCTAGAGCTAAAATCATAATTAAAATATATTAAATAAGACTACCTAATTCATTGTGAATTTTCCATTTACAAATCCTAACTTAATAAAAAAGTAACCCACCACCAGCTTTTTTAATGCTGCACATTGACCTGATATAATTCTTAAAAAGAAGGAAAAATACATTCAATTACAGAGGTACACAAGCCCTAAAAAAGTAAAATTCCTCGTGGATCATCGATTAAAGAGCAGGTTCCTCTGGATAGACTAAGTTACCGCCAAATTCTTTTAATTTCAAGAGCATAACTAATACTACTAAGGTAAACTAAAATTACAAATTGAATAATAGGGTATCTAATCCTAGTTTCAAATCAACTGTTAAACTATTACTGCCTAGAACCGTAATCATTCAATCAATTTTTTCAATTAATTAAGGTTTTTAGTTAAGATAAAAAAGACAGCGTCACGAGCGGGATTCGAACCCACGATCTTCGGCTAGATACGCCGCTGCTCGGTTGGTGTTGGTGTCCGAGTGGATCGAAGTCACGACAGCTCAAGAGGTAGAGAGCAGCGGCGTATTAGCCGAACATCGTGGGTTCGAATCCCGCTCGTGATACTGACTTTATTATCGGCGTATCTAGCCGACCATCGTGGGTTCGAATCCCGCTCGTGACACTGACTTTTTTATCTCAACTAAACACCTTAATTAATTGAAAGATATAATTTGGTCAAGCGGACCACGAAAACTAGTGAACGTAATCATAATTAAGATTTCACCCAATAAATTACAATTATAAGTCCAACCCTTAAAGTATAATTTTTAATAAAATAATTAACTAGGCCTTAATGAATAACCGCGACTGATGGCACAAAATTAGTCAGACCTTTACTAAAATTAACTAAATCCTATTTTCATAGATACTTAATTCTAAAAACTGCGATTAAAAATAAACTTTCCTTTAGAAAAACTCCCAAACAAGCTAAAACATGCATGTATAGCTGGAATAAAACTATAGTTATAAAAGTTAAAAAAAATATCGGTATATTTTATTTTTACGAGGGGCCCTTGAAGGTCATTAAATTAATTTTAAGAAGCTGGTGTGGGTATATGTAAATATATATTTTGCTACAATAATGTATTTTTTACATTTCTTTATACATTATTGGAGCAATATTAAAATATATTAAATTACAATTATTGTAAAATAAAAGACTGTAAATCAGTATAAATTTATTCAATAAACCAATAAATGTTTTATTTGTGTTATGGTAAAAATGTATTTTGGGCATTTCCGATGATTTTCTGCCTATGATCGCTTTTCGGCCGCTCTGAGCAGAGACGACTGACGACAGCACGAAGCCAAAACGCGCTTGACAGACCAAAACAACAAGGATACGCAGACTAAACTGGTCGAAAACATCTAGACTGCCAATAAATATTGTTATATTTTTAACGTTAAACACATTCCATTTAATTCTAAATTTGGTAAGACGTAGCAAAAAAATAATTCCATTCTCCGCCTTCTTACAGTATATGTGAAAACCGAGCATCAAACAAGAAAATCTTTGTTTTATAAGGTGAAGATGGTGCGAGCAGGATGTGTCAAAGGGTTGCCAAGTTGAGGGAAGGAATTTTTAACTGGCAGACCCAATAAAACCGACGACCGCCGACTTAAATACATAATAAAAAAAGCAATCCACACTACTTCTGACAGTCTAAGTGCCTTTTTCCATTAAGGAAAAGTATATGTCGTCGTTTCACGATATTTCACATTTGATAAAAGAAAAAGAATGTATTTCTTTAATAAAATCTACTTCCAAACAAACCAAAATTAGAATACTTACGCGGTAATAAAAAGAATATTTTCAATTTTATTCCCTTCTTATTTTGCAAAATTTGGTAGTTTTATTAGTTAGATAGTTATTTTAAAAGTTTACAAAGCTACGTTTCATGGTCAATAATATTTTGAGAAAGACAGACACGTCCAAAGAACTTTCACTGATCAGTAGGGGTTAAACTTCATCAAATCGCTGTAACATTTTTTTTTTATTGGTGAAGATGAACAATCGGTCAATCACCATTATGCCCACATCAGCTGTCAAGGAAAAGCGGTTTTCATTAATCAATTCTGATGTTTTCCCCCATGGAATAAACCTCAGAAAAATCGCAAAGCTGCTAGAGGGGAAAGTTGTAACAACAAACAAGCCGAGAACAATTTATTATCAACCTGAAAATGGTTATCAGTTTTATCAAAACGGCCAAAAGAATACAATGCTAGCATCGCAAAATAAATGAATTATGTGAGTGCTTTTTTTTTATAGATGTTTGTATTTAAATTATGAATTTAGTGGTTAATAAAAACCGACAAATCTGAAAAAATGCGAAATGAATATTCAGTGATAACAGAGTAATCACGTTTAAAACCGACGACCGATTTACCATAAAATGTAAATTTCTGAACACCTTTTAAAGAGTCAACTGTGAAAATCTGAAAATATTCATATTTTTTATTTATATTACATAAAGCTGAACGAAGCGAATTTAACAACTAACAAATAAAAGTTTGAACCTTTTACAACATATTTTCATTTTGACAGAGGCCGGTGGCTGTATAAAATCAAGACTTCCAAAAGGTCGCCTCCCTGTGAAATGGGAATAAAATGTTCTACCCTGAGGTAATACCTCTCTCCAGAAGCTCTTTGTTTTCGCACCTGGAACATCGATCAACAAGTTGTAAGAGACCCCCTTCGATTCCCATTTCTCTTAGTTTCAGACATCTATATAAAAAAAGGTTCTTTATTTTAATGTGACTTGGGCAAAGCCACTGTGACGAACCTGTCTAGTACAATAAAAGTACACCGACGGTAATCCCTCAGGATACTTGGTTTGATAGCCGTTTCCTCTCATTTTTGACCTGCCTATTTCCCTGGTTCATTCTGTCAGACGCGAACTGGTTTCATGACATATTCAGTGCTGAGCAGGAATTATGGATTTTTGATGTTTCAAGAACGTTGATGCCTTCGGATTCTTTATAGGTATATTGACTATTTTAGCTATGCAATATTTAGGTTTGATATAATTTCCTACAAAGGAACCTAATATAGACAGACATATTTTTCAGAAAATGTATGAAAACCAAACAAACTGATTATAAACTTGTGAGATTTCTTCATGGTGTCTGGGGAGATGAACCTGCAATTCGGTCGTTTCTTATCTTTTGGTCTGCTGGGTTGGCCTCTAAGGATACAGATCCACCACAAATAGTGCAAAACCAAAACCCGTTTAACAGGCCAAAATAGCATGGATAGGCCAACCAAAATAATGGCAACTGGACGTACAATTCTGCCACTATCACGTATCTCGCGTTCATACTTGATGAGAAATTGGCTTTACACCTCCAGGGATTTGGAATGGGAGTCATGACGTGCTACTGTAATTTCATGTCGAGTCTAGAGGATGGTTTGAGTCCGTGTACCTCACTGTGGTTAGGTGTTTCTCGTCATTCGCAATAAGGTGATCATTAAAATGGTTGTTTCCTGGGAGCCGGAAATGGCTAGGTTGCTAAAGAGGGGAGAACCGGGCCAACGAGAAAACTCAGTAACTTATGATAAATACGTTCATTATTAAAATTCTGGTTTAAAAAAAAAAGCAATTAGGATAGTATTCCATTTTCTGTCAAAAGACTCCACCTTGCCTGATAACAAATCAGCCATTGTAAAGTATTGCTAAGGTCTTTTACTCTTGTACCCTTGGGTCTTCCAGGTGCTCGACCTCAGCCTCACCTCGGTGTCACTACGAAGAACAACATTTTGGAACAAATGATACTCAATAAACCAACAATTAAGACTATTGCTGTTCACTAATGTTCACTAAGCGCAGGCCATGCTGTTTGGGAAGGTGGGTTTCTCGACTTCTCGACATCTCCAAATCTGGATCAAGACAGACCAAACCATCGAGGATAGGCAGACCTAAAATTTAGGTCAGCAAGAAGTCACTCTGATTTTGTTAAATTCTTTCCTTCCTCCTAAATTGTCTTCCTCAATATTTTTCGTCTATTTTACTTACTTCTACTCTATTTTACTTTTCCAAGTCAGAACTCTAAAAATCTTAAAAAGCCGCGATTCAAAACTGAAGCCTCTACATATTTTACATTAGTATTTTGTACTGTCAAAAGATCAAAAAGCAGATTCTAGAATGTTGTTACTTGCCAAATTGCCTTCAATAATCCAAAAGAAAGTAGTAGGTCTACGATAGTCTGTTGACTAGAGGCTTCTTGCATAAAATTATAAAAATTGGTGAAGTATATTATTCATGAGAAACATATCGACACCAAACAACGACGGAATCGTGTGCCGTGTCGTTTGCACCCAGACCAAATATAGGACGAGCCATGAGGAAAAAAGTTCCGATCATTTTGGTCTTTTGGGCCAGCCAAAACCCCAACGTATGACGGATCAAAATGATCTGAAACGATCAAGTTATAGTTCAACGCCTAGCAGATCCGAAAAAGAAATCTCACAAGAAAGTAAGCCTCTTAAAAATGTGAATGTTTTGACCATTTCCAGCTAGTAGATGTTACCAGTAAAAACGATGTTCTTCGCTAGCCGACTCCTCTTCAAAAACTCGATAACTGAATTTTTCGATAACTGAAATCGTCCATTACACAACAAATTGAAAAATAAAATTGTTCCTTCTCTTGCGAAATCTTATTTAATGACGGCCTGTGAAGTCTGGCTTACAAAATGCAATTTCTTTCTTAATGGTCTTGTCTAAGTAAGACTTTCTTCGTTACAAAAACATACATAAGTAGTTTTTAGCCTGTATGTAAACTTGGCACACCACATCACCGAATTTATATTTATTTTTAAAAATAAATCAAAAATATACAAAAAAAATAAAATCAAAATTTATATGATTTTGATATAAAAAAATAAATTTAAAAAAACAAATAAAAAAACAAGATATGTATTGAAATCACTAAGCCTAAGCTGGCCTTAAAGACCAAAATAGCGAGGACAGGCAGAAAAAATGATCAGAAACGATCAAACTACATATTTTATCAACTTTAAAGAAAATTTATCGGAGATTCAAGGCTAATTACTTTTTGATCTAAAATGAAACTGTTAACTGTTAAATCAGGCACAATGTTGAAAATTTACTAATATTCCCTTATGTTCTTACATATGTTGCAGCTTGAAGCCGCTAAGCACATTTGAATGTAATCCGATTTCATGATATGTAAACGACGTTTGCTCAGTGAGAATCTCCCCTTAATAACAGCCAGAAACTCAATACAATTAAAATT